CATCCGAAAGAATTCCAGTCGGCAAATTTAAATTTTCGCCAGTGCTGTGGCGCTTCAATCTTTGGCTATGTCTTGGGCTACTATTATGTTTTTGATACTAAATTAACATCTGAAGTATAATTTTTTATTATTGTTATATTTTTCAATATATTTATTTTGTTAGTACAAAATAAAAAAATAATTTTTAACGATACAATAGTCTTTATTAGGCTTAACATCGACGAAAATTCAACGCGAAGCGACACGCAACGGAAAAAAATTTCGACATCGGATACGTTAAACTATTTTTTCGTACGTAAATCAGTTATCCGAAATATCAGTTATCCGGACAACCCCAGTCCCCAATTGATTCGGAAAATCGACGCTCAACTGTATTTGTTTTGTCCTCGAGCTGATTAGTAATTGAGTTTTATACAATTTATTTAATAATTTAAGAGTTGTGAGAGCTGTAAGGCCCTGAGTCTAAATTAATAATTTATTAATTATGTTAAATATTGTCACCAAATATTACTTCATTTTTGGTGAGAAAAATAATGATATAACGTGGGAAAAGGCAGATAACAGATGTTACTTCCTTTCACAGAAGTTAGAACATCCTCTGACTTTCCCTTATCTGGTTAAAATCCCGCTCAGATGGGAAATGTTTACCCCTCATCCGTTCTCATGAAAGAGTTACTGGCCGATGATTGGTCGAAAATCAGCAGATATAGATATATCGTTCGGTCTCAGCACTTACCCGTCCCAGAGATATCCCGCAGAGAAGTATACTCGCTCTCTCTTTCTAACCTCAGCGGACATTCCAAGTGTCTGAGACTTCGGTGTTACCAGTTCAAAGCCCTTACTTTCCCTTTCTTCAGCTCGCACTCTAATTTAAGGGCATTTTGGGCAGGAATTCCAACCAATTACAGTTCTTCATTGCAAAGAGCATTCACCCAGGTAAGCTTGAATTGGATGAGAGTGGTCATCAACTTGTTTACTACCACCTGGCATGTTGTTTACGACTGGACCACCCTTGAATCAAATTAGCGATGCCGGCGCTTCCTTTATTCCGTTTTTGTTTACAAGCCAATACCTCATATTGCATTTTTAACAATTCGTGTTTTAATTAATATAATTGTACATATTAATTTATGATTTAAATTTAACAGTTTACAATTAACTGTTTGAATGTATGGAATTTATATAAATCGATTGCTGTAATTAATGACTCGTTGATTAATTTCGAATCAAGTGTTTTATTTAGCTGAGATAATGGCATAATCGCAAATAATTTATATGAACTTTATTCAGAGCTTCACAGCAAAAGAATCATTGTAAATGGCCTAACAACAAGCCATAGTTAGTCTCTCGTACAATATTGAAAACGAAAGAAATTTAATTAAACGACTGTAAATTACATAATTAGCGGTAAATATAATTTACCATTTGTGTCAGTTCATGTCGGTAAATATGATAAATTGTACTTAATTAATTAATCAAATTTACCGAACATTATGCACAATAGCCCTTCGAAAACAACAAATTTAATAAATAGTGAAGTTTCGTCGAGTAACATTCCTTTAGAAAGTTACAAAACTCAGCACTGAACGAACATATAACAAATTGTGCAGTTCATAAAGAACAGATTATATTATCGAAGCGTTAAATAGAACTGATGAAATCATGCTTGGTTTACCCTTAAATGTTAGACTGAAAACAATATCCCTTCTTAAAAAAGCTGTAGCAGATGGTTGCACCGAAGATTAGCTTCAACTAAAAATTGAATTATTACTTCAACATCATTACATATTGTAAAAATCCAAGGAATATATTTTAGAAACAGTATTGACAATTAACAGTTCTCATTTACAAATCTTGCTGTGACTATCTCTAATTCCTCAATGTAAAAACAGTGTAGTGTGGAAGTGATAAATGTTTCTACAACAAGAACAGAAAAATGTTGAGAAGAAGCGAGCAAATGCGAATGCAAAATTAGAAGTTTAAGCCACGAAATTGCAAAATTATCGGAGCTGAAGTCTGTAATAAAGAAAGTACAGAATGCAATAAGATAAGAACAACAGATATGAACAGGGCAAAAAGGGATCCGTAAAATATATTGGCAGTGATATCAGCTACTGAAATTTTCGAGTAGTATCACTTGGAAACAAATGAAGGATATTTTTACTGCTGTATATCAGAAAACTATTTATGTATCTGAATGAACAGAACAAACAGAGCGATATTTTGTACATTTCCTAGATTCTTCGTGTGTTAACAAAAAAAAAAAAAAATAAATTGATTTCGCGAAGTATGTACTACCAAAGGTGCTTCTGCAGAAAAATGTAATTTAATCAATTGCAAAAAGGAGAAAAATAAAAATAATTATTTACTTAAAAATGTCACTATGTTTATTACAGTTGAATAAACAGTAAAAATTATTAAAGTTGTGTACTTTTTTCATGAAATATTTCGGTATTTTTCCACACATAATCCTGAGAGTAAGCTAAAACAAATTATTCGTAATTTTCTTCTATTCACTAAATCTTTCTAATATTAATAGAATAAAAGTATTGCTTCATTCTATTATAATTTGTTTTTCATCTACAAGACATTTTATTACAACAGAAAAAGACGACAATTTTATGATATTGATGAATTTTGTTAACATATTTTGGAAATTATGTAAAAAAATTGTTTCAAAAGTGACATAATCAATGTTACAAAATTCAATGGAAAACTCAATCGCCGGTTAGAGAGATTAATTTATTAAAATTTATGAACAATTTCTATACCCAATAATGCTGTGATAATATTTCTGATGTGGGAAAATTTCACTTATGAAATTTTTTAAAAATATTTGTATTTAAGTATAAGAATTTTAACAAAATAAAACATTAAAATTAATACAAAAATTCTAATTTTGTCACAATCATATTTTTGTTTTTACAGGAATCAGAAAAAAGAGAAAGCGAAGAAGCACAAGCAGCCAGAGAAGGAGGATCGAAGAGAAAAAAATCAGAGATGGTAGAGGCTGACAAGCAGTTTTTTCATAAGGATAAGCCTTTTTCCGAACAATAAGTCTTAAATAAATGAAAAAATAACAACAAGATAAAAAAATTCATCAGAAAAATTTTAATTACATTTTTTTTATTTGGCATATTATCGAAATAAATTTTATTATTCGTGCTTAATATAAATGTTTAAAATATGGGAACATTCCAATTAAATTTACAATCAGTAAACAGCATTTTTTCAATTAAATCTGAAAATGTTAAGGAAGACGATTACAATAATAAAAATTTAAATGAAAAAATTTAATGACAAATTATGTAACGTTATTTAAATGATATTAATGTGCACATACATCATTATTAGCCACATATTCCAAAATTGTATACAATTGATATTAAAATATTGTAATTTTGATCTGGTATATTTCATTACCACTTCAGATTTAATGTAAAATTGTGAAATAAACACGTGAAAAATTCAATTCTTGATAGAATTGCCAATTACTAACATAAAAGACGTGTTCTGTATGCTTGTGTGTGACTTTTATTTAATCCAGTTGAAATTTCGGTTATATTCGTTTTATTTTCTGACGGAAAGACATGTTGCAGTGACATCAGTGGTCACGAGACGTTCATGCTGGTCCAAAAAATTTACCTTATGCTGCAATTTTAAACATTTTGGCAAATGGCGTATTTTATACTCTCTTTATTACATTTAAAATTTAAACTTTAAAAAAGATAACGTCATCGTGTTATTTCTATAANTTCGTGCTAGACCAAAAAATTTACCTTATGCTGCAATTTTAAACATTTTGGCAAATGGCGTATTTTATACTCTCTTTATTACATTTAAAATTTAAACTTTAAAAAAGATAACGTCATCGTGTTATTTCTATAATTTTTTTTTTTACAAATCGTTCTAATTTTATTCAAACGGAACTAACGATCTAACGAGTATTTAGAAAGAATTATCGCTCATCTGACTAACGTACTATGCATGCAATTTTATCTTTGTTTTATCAACGTGGAATTAAGAAATGGCTTCGTCAAGGGCTGCAGAAAAGGAATATCATCGTCAATCATTCAAACAATATTAAAGAGTCTATTACTAAACGAAGACGGTAAGGAAAACTTTTAAAAGACAGTACAGTATTTAATTATAATATAGTGTATAAAAAAATATCTTAATGTTTTTCAATATATAGGCTTATATCTGTTTATATGTGTGTAAGTGAATTAATTCTCTGTAAAACTATATTATTTTGTCCACACCAGGTGATATAATGTTTTGCTACTTTTTATGTTAAAGCAGATAGTATAAACTGCTTAATTTGTAGAAATATTATCATTAGCATTTTCTTGAAATATCTGCTTTCTCGTATAACAAATGCTTGACAGGGGGATTTTCTAGTCGTCTAATAATAATATTTATTCGTTTATTGAAAGTGGAATTACAAAAGGAGTAAGTTTAGCAGGGTTAAAATTTCAAAAGAGAAATAATTATTTAATTCCAGAGTGTTATGAAAATCAGCCCCATAATTGTATTTTTTCATAGATGCAAATAATATTTACCAATAAATTCGTTAAGATGATTACATGAAAATAATATAAACGTATTAGAATACTTTATAATATATTATCGAAATTTTAAATTTTATTTTGGAAAAAACTAAAATTAACTAAAATTCATAGAGTTGGGAGGATCAGAAATTTCGTGTTATAAACCTTAATCTTTTATAAATTTTAATTAAACTTTAAATACAATTCTATAAAGACGAACAAGTTTATTAAAAAAAAAGGAAAAAGGGCTAGTTTTAACGGAAAGCCAATTAATAAAATTTTCCTTAAAATCAGTTTAAAACACGATTCTCACGAGTTGGGTTCCTCATTGAGATGAGTAAATCTCTGTCTCACGATTGTGTCACCCGTCACTTTATTGTTCCACAGAGATCGTCACCTCTAACGAAATCGGAAAAAGGGCCGAAAGGAGCCCTTCATATAAAAAGGCCGGCACGATGAGTAAGATCGAGGAAGTTATTAATTGATTGTGTGTGTGTGTGTGCCGCACGTTTACCTCTCGCCTAAGTTGTCTCCGAGACAGTGTTCCTGTTCGTCAACCAACACCTCCTTCTCACCTACTGAACTCTAAGATATCAACAATTTACCTACATAACTTCGAAGAAAACTGTTCCGGAATGAAAAAGGATTTGCGATATGTAAAAGCTAGCAAGACATTTGATCGACATCGCGTATATTTGCCGCGACCATCGGTAGTAATTTTCAAATTATAAATGTTACCTTACAATTTAATGCGCGTATTAAATTTAATGCAATTCAAAATTAAATTTTAGAAATGTCTAAATTTTCAAAGTTGTTTTGCTTAATTTAACGAGTGTTTCGCATTACGAGTAATATTCTGAAACCAATGCTCGTTAAGCGAGGATTCACTGTATTTTATATAGTGAATGCATATAAAATGTTGTCATTTCTGGTTTTGAATAAAACTGAAATTAATAATTATTTTGAATATACAGGATTTTCCCATTTACGTAATCGTATTACTCCTCCTGAATTGTANATTCGTTTATTGAAAGTGGAATTACAGAAGGAGTAAGTTTAGCAGGGTTAAAATTTCAAAAGAGAAATAATTATTTAATTTCGGAGAGTTATGAAAATCAGCCGCATAATTAGCCTATATTTTTTCATAGATGAAATAATATTTACTAATAAATTCGTTAAGATGATTACATGAAAATAATATAAATGCATTAGAATACTTTATAATATATTATCGAAATTTTAAATTTTATTTTGGAAAAAACTAAAATTAACTAAAATTCATAAAGTTGGGAGGATCAAAAATTTCGTGTTATAAACCTTAATCTTTTATAAATTTTAATTAAACTTTAAATACAATTCTATAAAGAAGTTTATTTAAAAGAAAAGAAAAACGGCTAGTTTTAACGGAAAGCCAGCCAATAAAATTTTTTCCCAAAATCAGTTCAAAACTCGATTCTCACGGTTTGGGCTCCTTATTGAGATGAGTAAATCTCTGTGTCACCCGTCACTTTATTGTTCTACTCTGACGAAATCGGAAAAAGGCCCGAAAGGAGCTCTTTATATAAAAAGGCCGGCACGATAAGTAAGATCGAGGAAGTTATTATTTGATTGTGTGTGTGTGTGCCGCACATTTTCCTATCGCCGAAGTTGTGTTCGAGACACTGTTCTTGTTCGTCAATTAACACCTCCTCCTCACCTACTGAAATCTAAGATATCAACAATTTACCTACATAACTTCGAAGAGAAGGTGTTCCGGAATGAAAAAGGTTTTGCGACTTTATTGCTGTTATTCGATGAACAGTGTACTGTAATACAAGGTATTTATCCTTCCCACGCATTATTGTACGCTTTTTCTCGTTCTTATAAACTGATAGCGAACGTGATTGTAACCGGATAACGAAAGCGATTATATAAGATTATATTTTAAATAAACGGTTATTTAGTGATAGTAATAGTTTGTGAGTTATTAATTTGTAAAAACTTTTAAATCACCTTGTACTGTATATTTTTTTTTAATGATGGATAAAGGCAGATTCAACCAATGATCGTGATTAATGTGTAAATGAATATTTATTGATTGTTTGGTAGGTTGTATCGAAGCGAAAGAGAACGTTTATATATAAAAGCTAGCAAGACATTTGATCGACGTCGCGTATATTTGCTGCGACCCTCGGTAGTAATTTTTAAATTATAAATGTTACCTTACAATTTAACGTGCGTATTAAATTTAATGCAATTCAAAATTAAATTTTAGAAATGTCTAAATTTCCAAAGTTGTTTTGCTTAATTTAACGAGTGTTTTGCATTACGAGTAAGATTTTGAAACGAATGCTCGTTAAGCGAGGATTCACTGTATTTTAATACAGTGAATCCTCGCTTAACGAGCATTCGTTTCAAAATCTTACTCGTAATGCAAAACACTCGTTAAATTAAAAAAATTTTAAGAAAATATTTTTTCTTACAGGCATCGCAAGAAAAAGCGGATGAAGAAGTAGAAGCCGCCAACACACTGCTATTATTAAGAGAAGGAGGATCGAACAGAAGGAGATTGGAGATGTTGGAGGCTGACGAGCATCCTTCTCATTCAAATAAACCTGTCACTAAACAATAATTGATAAAACACAAACTGAAAAAAATAAATATTAGATTTTGTCGTAATTATACTCTACGAAATTACATAAATCAACTAATTAGAAAAATTTATATCAAATATTTAAAATATTTCGTTTTCCTTTATTGAAATATTGCAAGTATTTCATAAATTGCAAATATTAAAATGCTGTGATGAGCACTTTTCGACTTTCTACGATTTCTAAGATTATTTATATTATAATTAAAAATTATGAATGAAACTACATTAATTTCCTTTATATCATTAACTACGAAGATTTTCTGTACGTGCCGGTAACAACGCAAGTTTATTATTAAGATCTAACTACCAGATCTCTTGCAGTCGGGTGGTCCTCCGTCTTCCATGCCTTCTTCCTTTTTCTTTTCACCTCTGCCTTTTTTATTTTTCCGACAAATTTTAGTAATAACGACAAAATACATAAAAATATTCAATTAAAAATTGTGTGTAATTTTACAGTCAGATTAACTGTTAAAACGTTTAATGATGAAAGACGTAGAAAAACGAAGCTTTCTGCATCACATCTAACAAAATAATGAAAAGAAAAGCAATCATGAAAATAAGAGCGATTTATATAAAGTAGAGCGACTTACCAGTATATATAAAAACTAATTCCCGTAATGCAAAGTGTGAGCTCAACGGGTTACGGATCCAAATTTTTATAAATGTGGAAACCGCTAAAATAGTTTTTCGAAAGTTTAATGTAAACATCCGTCGATAGAAAAGCGCAGAGAATTGGATCGGTGCCGCTTCTAACGCTAACAATCAAGTGGGAAAGTTGACTTAGTCGTAAAAGAATGCGAGTCATCGTCAACAAAGGACGAACTTGTCACCCATTTCCCTCCATAATACTATAAAAGCTGGAGTCACCGGAAACTCAGGGCCATCGACACAGAAAGTTATTTTTTAGTTAGTGTGCATTTTTGTATTCCGTCTCCCGTTTTTATCTGAGAAGACAACGGAGGGAAAATCTTACGATTCCATATAAGATCAATCGTCACATACGGTTCCCCATTAAGACTGAGAGGTATTTTGGCTAGAAATCTAAGAACTCTCTCTCTCTCTCTGTGGTAAGAAAATTAGCCACGCGACATAAAAGTTAAAGTAGTTGCTGGTCATTTTTATAAATAATTTGCATTTTCACCGCATTTAACCTTATTTAATCTGTATAATCTGCATCTATGTTTAGTCTTAGATATTCAATAAACGCTTTGTTGATTTGTGGAAACCTGTCAAATTGTTTATCATCCCTCTCGCTTTTGGCTTCTTATTGCCATCCTACGACATCGAAGTTTTTTTTTAACAACGTGCCGATTAAGTAGTTAATAGGAAACCCCGTATAGCCCCCGTTTGTCTCAAAAAAGTGCGCAACTTGTAAATTTTTTTTTTATTTTGTAAAGGTTTATAAAGCCTGGCGTTGATTCGTTATTTCATCAGAGCAAACTTAAACGAATACAATACGTTGGAAGAATAACAGGCGACACTTAAGGGAAAAAAGAGAAACGAAAAGCAGACAACAAAAGGCAATAAAATAATAAATAGCATTCAGGGCAAAAAGCGATATAACACTTAGTCGAAGTAAATGAACACATATACATACGGGCTTATCATACCAGTGAATGAAATGTATTCATAAATTCTTTAATGATTATTAACACCTTAAAGTATTAAGGTGTTAATAAAACTGTACAATAAACTATGGCTCTTTAAACATTTACATAATAAAGAACACAAAACGCATTTCTGACACATTGAATTGTCTCTCTTCAGTCAGTGATCAATATACATTATAAAATAATGTATATTGATGTATAAGTACTGACTGAATGTATGTTGATAAATAATATAAAATAAATCATAAAATACATTAAACAGCCATTTTAAACATGAAATTTTAATGTATTTTATAATGTATGTTAATGTAGGAGCACTGACTGAAGACAGACTATTCGTTGTGTCAGAAATGAGTTTTGCGTTCTTTATTATGCACTGTACATGTTTAAAGAGCCATAGTTTATTGAACAGTTTTAATGTTAAGTTGTTAATAATCATTAAAGAATTTGTGAATAAATCTCATTCACTGGTGTGATAAGCCTGTATGTATATGTGTCTATTCACTTGGACTAAGTGTTAAATACAAAAAGCGTTTAATTCTTTGTATGTTCGAAAAGTTGAAGATGGAAGAGATTAACATGTCAAATAAATATCCACAGTTTTTCAAAGAAACACCTCACAGGGTTTAAACAGCCGTTTAAACAGATTGCCCGTTAGTTTCATTTCAGTTTTTTGTTTTCTATATACATATTTAAGAGTTCCATCGGTGTCTTTTGATTTGAAATTAATTTCTTCGAAATTATTTTCTTTAGCTTCTGCTCATTTCTTTACAACAAGATGGATGCTAAAGGAAACTTCTTGATATTAATTTGTTATTAATAAAAGCATAAAGTCTACTGCACTGTATTCCACATTGAATAAAATTTTATATTCGAAAATTCCTGTTTTATTTTAATTAAAATGAATTAAAAGAAATTAAATAGAAAATGCTGGTGTCGTTTAATAAATATTAAGCGTAAGAATAAATATTAGAAATATTCAGTAACTAAAAGTAACTAAGAAATTGTTTTCATATCGTGTCCTCCTCCAATATCTCAAAAACACAAGTCATTACAGATGGAGTCAACCTTTAAGTTCATTCTACTCAATTACCTCGATATGCAAAAATATTAAATGAGATTCTGGCGAAGGGATATTGGTGTTCTATTGTTACTATCTTAAAGTATAAATTTTTAAAAATTTTTACATGTATTAAATTGCTCTTATATAATTTTTCTATGCTTTTATTCAATTCTTTCTTAAATTAATATCATGATACTTCTCTTTGGTTAAAATTACAATTGCAAATGATATTAAATAGTAAATTATTCATTAAATCTGATTCCACACGAGACCCAAAATATGACATTCCCTTTTCCTTTCAACCACCAAAATTTAAGAGCATTAGTCTCTCTAACAGCAAAACTCACTGCAAAATTCAGAAATTATCGACAAAAGGAAATAATAAGAGTTATTAAGTTTAGAATATAATAAGAAAAATCGTTACACACCACATACACCAACATTATACAAACAGAAAAACACCCAAATCATTTCCGTTATAGAGAAGTTTGTATGTCGTTCACTTTTCAGTTCTTCTTGAGTTCAGAGACACGCACAATTAAGCATGCTCAATATAATCAAAATATAACAATGGAATTATTACATTGTTTCGGAGCATTGTTATTTTTTGTCTTTAAAATTTCGACTTTCAATTAAAATACTGAATTTATTAATAATCAAATTAATATAAGCAAAATCATAATGGTAAGTGAAATCTTTCATTCCATCCGTATGATGCATTTTTAAGTTCCCGAACTGTTTTATTAAAATTCAAGAATTAACACTAACTTTGAATTTTAATTTTATATCGAAGTTCGAGTGCATATTATGAAAACTTTAACATAATATTATAATGTATAACAATAATTTATATTATCGTGAATATTATCGTGAATATTTAAGTTTTTCACTAATTATTTTAAAAGGATAAAAAACATCAATGCCCGACCTGCGGCAAGGAATTTCGTAAACCGAATTTGAAAAGGCACTTGCGAACTCATACTGGCGAAAGGCCGTTTAAATGCAATTTGTGCGGAAAAACCTTTACGGATAAAAGTAATTTTATTCAGCACATGAGTGTGCATTCGAATGAAAAGCCATTTAACTGTCATTTGTGCGAGAAAAGCTTTTCAAGTAAGAGATATTTAAAACAACATTTGATAGTACATTCGGATGAAAAACGGTTCAAGTGCAATCACAAGGGCTGTAAAGAGAGCTTTAAAAGTAAACACGATTTGGAACAACACACGTTTGCGTGTCATTCGAATGACATTTTATGTAATGTAAATATTACTAAAAATTTCTATATTATTATTCTTATATTTCGATAGTTAAAACGATGAAATTTATGTGAAATTTATTAACAAATGATACATTTTTTATAAGAATTTCACAAATAGTAATCAATAAGTCTGTACTAACTTACAGAAACCAAGCGTAAAATAATAAAAGTGATAAGCAATTTTAATCAATGTTGATATTGCTTAAAATTCAGGAAAATCTTCCTCTTTTTATATCGGTTTTCAATTTTATTCAAAAATTGTGAATTGATTGAATTTGCTTGCATTTTTCGAGTAAAACTATCGTCCCGAATCACAACGTGATAATCGATAAGTTAAAATTCTTTATGTCGGAATTAGTTGTCATAATAAATACATTGGTGTAATTAACAATTAATGTTATGGAAAATATAAAATACTACTTTCGATGAGTTTAAATTATCACAAGAATCGTTTATTGCAATTACTATTTTTGTAGTTGATAAACAAAAGTAGTATTTTCTGTGTGTATTTTTTTTTCTATTTTAGAAAATAAGAACACCAAAAACTGGTATTTATTGCAACCCATGTCATTATTAAATTAAACATTAGATCATAAATACAACATTCGTACTTACAGAATTATATTTAATACGTTAATATATTCTGACCATATAAATCAATTCATAATTAGATTCCGATGAATGACCCGAAGATAACGAGCCGTTATTGTGACATTTGCAAAAAACTATTCTCATCTTCCGGTGTATTAAAAACTCACATGAGAATTCACACCAAAGAGCTGCCGTTTTCGTGTAATATATGCAATGAGAAATTCAGATATAAATATCAATTAAACAGACACAATAAACAGTTTCATTCGGCAGAAGAACCTCCAACTTGTTCCCAGGTAAGTGTACAAGTATCTTAATGATTGAGAATTCAACAAATATATTAACACCTCGATTCGCGGACTAATTGAAGGTGAAATAATCTTTTAAAGCAGAAAGTCCGATATGCAACAAAATCGTTTTTCCGAATTCATAGGCTAAGAAATACACAAATTAATTAGTTTACGTTATTTACTTATGTAGATATGTTTGTGTAATTATATTAAATATGCCCGAAAAAATTAATTTTACATACGAGCTTTAAGCTTAGTTCACACTGAGCGCGATTCGCTTGCGAAAGCGAAAAACAGAGCGAATAACACGTCAGACATGACGTCGTTTCCGGCGAATTTTATCATTTCGCGAATCGCTTCAAAGTTCGGAACTGTCGAGCTTTTTCGCTAGCGAAAAAATTTCGCACCAATCGTATTCCCGCTAGTTTTCACGTGGTTCTTGTTGTTTTCAAGATGGCTACAGAAACTTTCTCACACAATAGATTACATGTGTGAGAAAGATTTTAATATTACGGATTTTAATATTTCTCTCACCCAACATCGTTTTATTTTTGACTTATTTTTCTTTCTCAATAAATAAACAAATGTGGTTAACGACGGAATATCGGAAGCGGCCATTTTGTTTTTCGAGATGACGTTTTCACTTGCTAGCAAATAATTGGCTACTTAAAATTCGAAATCGCTTTTCGCTTTTCACATTCGCTTTCGCAATTCGCTCAGCTTTAGATTCATAGCAGAAAATAACTCTTATGCAAACAGTAAAAGTTATTTTCTGCTCTATACGCTGTAAATCCTCAAAACGCTTTTACAACACTATTAGAAAAGATTTCTGTAATGATTTCATAAGATTTTAAGTGTTCTTAGAAGTGTCTCGGAACAGTTTTTCTACTTCTTGATTACAATATCATCACTTTCGAGACATATATTTTTATTGAATTACGTTTATAAAGTGTGTTCAAAGTCTAAATAAGAACTAAAAGTGTTCTTATTAAGAAAACATAACCACAGTTTTTCTGTACATAATTAAGGACACACGAAGTGTTCTTAAAAGTGTTTCAGAACATTTTATTTTCAGAGCACAATATTAATTTCATAAGTACACGAAAATTGCTCTTGAACTAAATTTATGTAGTAAATTCTTATAATTTTGCATATAAGAGACTTTGATTGTAATGATAAATAAATTGTATTTACATAGTACGTCAGTTTAAATTATGTTTCTAAATGTTCCATTTATGAACTTTGAATGTAAATAAATAAACTAAATTTATTATTACGTTTTTAATGTACAAAGTTTAAAAATAATATAACTTCATTTTCATGTTTTATTGTAAAAAGTGCCAAAATAAAAAATAAAATACGATGCAAAAAATACAAATATAAAATTATATATTTAAACTCTTATTAAGTTTAAACAAATGACATAAGTTTGAGTTAACGCTCAACATTCTTAAGAACTAGCCGTACATATCATTTACGCAGTTACAAAACATATGAAAACACCATTCACTATACCTACATGGCTGATTACAGATCGTACACAGCATCAGCTTTCCTCGATATAACACAATTTAACCAAAGCCTCGTTATCTGTTTCTTCACCAGTGGCGTGCCGTCATTAGAAGCGGTGGAAGCGCCGATTCCCTTGTATTTTATAAAAAATAAATACATATTAATTTTAATTATATGAAAATAATCGCACAATATTTTATTATAACCGCATTATGTATCTTATTACAATATTCTGTACTACACGTGAAATAAAAGATAAGATTGCTATTGTATATTCGAATATTAGTGACGGAGTGGAATCTATGTATTGTCAGATTCCAAAAAGCCAGATTGGCGCATGCGCTTTACAGAGCACCAACCTCACCCGGTTTAGCCGGTGGAAGCCTACGACCTTGGGTGAAAGCTGCACACATATAAAGATTCCAATTCTATCAAGGACCGGTTCTGGGCTGTTAGCCGCCTGCCCACTAGATATTTCGATTACGTGAATAACGAGTAGATTTATAACTTAACCCAACCGATAAGAATTTACTGGTATGTTTTTACGATAGTTCTGTATAGTTGACAGGAGTTAAAAAAATCCATTAAAATATTTGATAGATTTATTCCGCTCTCCGATTTTATATTACTCACGGATTTCGATGTTAAACCAGTGATATTACGATTTCGTACATCCCATCTTTAAGGGGATGTAGAAAAAAACGTGTACAATTCTTGTATAATGTTAAAAAATTAACCGTTACTTCGACAGCGTCATTTACAACTAAATTTAATGAATGAGAGAGATGCACCAGGTACAGAAAAAGCTCTAGAATTTATTTTCCTTAAATTTACGATTTATGTATCCGTTTGTCATAAAAATTTGTACTTCCACTTTTTTCCCGAGATTACAAATATTCGAGTACAAAGTAACCTGTTTCGACTTATTTCTACTTAAGAAGTAGTTAAATAACTAAGCGATTAGGAAATTGGGGACATAAACAAAACCTTGATGAAAGAGCCGGAATATTACTTAAACAAAAGCTTAACCGAACCAATCTATAGCAGAGTACAGTGGAGACTGATTTCTTCGAAATACTGTATTAGATGTAATAAAGACAGAAATTTTTTTAGTTCGACGAAAGTGACCGAAAAGCTGTAAATTTTGGAAATTTGCGTGGACAACACCTGGTCCTAAAACGAATTAGTTAGAAAACAAATAACTATTAAGTTCAACACACGAGTATTTAGATTTTTACAGCTGTGGTAAGAAACGTTTAAAATCTACAACAGCCCTGTCGCGTCCTTTGAGATATATTAATGATGCGACAAAAGAGGTATTTGACACTGACCGGTATCGGCACCCTGGGGATCTGGCAGTCCGCGTGGATGCACGCTCTGCAACCGTCTTCGATTCCATTCATTAGCCACTCGTAGGGAGCTATTTGACTAAGTGCATTCTTTTAAGAATTAAAAAGTAAAGAATATTTTATATTTTTATGTACGTTTCTTTGCAAAGCTATATTTAATTATAATTTTTTAAAAAGTATTCATATAATTGAAGAATATTTTGTATGTATCAGTACATCCACCACACATTTTATTTCACCACGTAAGTTTTTATTATTTTATTTTTAATTGTAGCACTTATATCGTGGCTAGTGATTCGGAATGTAATTGTGATATTAAAAATGCATTTAGAGAAGTCTACGGTTTTTACTGGCTTATCGAATAAACGATACGAATGGACCCTAGACCATCACTGATGCGCAATTGACTGACCCCTGGATGTCGGCTTCTTACAGAAACACAGCTTCCCTATCATCAAACGTCACGGCACGCCCCTGCCTCTCAATTAGCTTAAAAAACATTGTTAACTCTTATAGCATTACAAATATATAATACAGTATATAATTATATATTACATACTTTTTGCAATTCACATTTTAGTAAATTGTGTACAGTTGTGTTATTTAAGTTATTTACTTTCAGAAAAAAACACAAGTCGTTCAACGAGAGCAGACTGAATCCTTTGAAAAACCATCAACAAGTTTTCAAACACTACAGTCAATTGAATTTGAAGATATTTCATCAGAAGAGAACGTTTTTACTTTAAAAGACTGCGAAAAATTCCTTAAAAACATTGATGTCAATTTAGGAATTATCCAACAAACATTACCTAATTCAGTATATAATTATCTGATATTACGTAATTTTATGCAATCCACATATTAGAAAATGGTGTACAGTTATGATATTTATGTTATTTTATTTTCAGAAAAGTACACGAGATGTTCAACGAGAGCAGAAACAATCTCTTGAACAACCATCAACAAGTTTTCAAAGACCACAGTCAATTGAATTTGAAGAAATTTTATCAGAAAGGAGTTTTTTTACTTCAAAAGAAAGTGAAGAATTTCTTGAAAACGTTGACATCAATTTAGAAATTATTCAATTGGAATCATCATCGCAACTGGAGTTCTTCCCAGAAATAAACGTTGACGAAACTTACTTGGAATGTCCGTTCTGTAGTGAACAATTTTTAGACGAAGTTTCACTAAAAGAACACGAAAGAAACGCCCATCCGTCTGATTAATTAATTCTGGACAACTAATTTTCAAGATATATTAAATTAATAATATATCAGATTATTAATGTTTCAGAATTTAATAACAATGGAAAAATTAAATATTTAGTGAAGATGCTTAGTTACAGTTCACGATATATGTGAAATCGTCGTGGAAAATATACATCTAATTTAATTTATAACGAAAATTATTTGACAGAAACTTCATACTATTTGAAATAAACTAAATTTGTTAATAAAGTTCACTATTACGCAAATTTATATTTAAGCGAGAAGTCATGCAACTCATTAGCCACTTATGAGGGTGCTATACTCCACATTTAATTATTAGAGATGACAATACGCAAGACAGAATCTCAAAGCCACAACGAATGTCTGTCATGGTGGAAAATACTTTTACATAACACACATTTTTAGATAGTGTATACAAATAGCAGCCGCAAATATATTTGAAACAGACAGCCGGCATAATGTATCTGTTTATTCATAAATTTTGAGATAAGTCACTATATTATTTTAAAACCGATAAGAATATTGTCTAAGAATGG